ATATACTAGTCTTTTGATAATTAGCCTTTTTTATTCATCATATCGACAAGATTAAAACTGTGATATATTGTAACATTTTAAAGTTCAGGACATTCATTTCATTCTATTCGAATCTCGTAAACTAGTGTGTTTAGTAATAAATATATATTTTTAATTCACTTGCTATTGTTTTATTTGAATCTTCCCATTGATGCTTAAGACTGCAATTGATCAGTCTGTTATTGGCGTATGTGCATACTGTGCCTCGATATTGCCTTAATTTATAAATATTATAAGCAAATATGGATAGTGGCTAGCAGTGTAATCCAGGACGCGCGTTTCGCCCTATTTGGGACTCGTCGGCTGGATGTACCTGCATCTGAGAGTTGATGTTCACTCTAGGACTCGAACCCAGTGCCGTTCGCTTCAAATGCAAGTAGCTATCAGGACTCAGTAGCTAAGTGGATAACGCGATGGCGTAATGTAATTACCCATCATATCTAAGGTTCTCCTCGAATGTGTACTTAATAAGCGGATTACATCGTTTAATAACAACAAGATTAACTGAATACTCAGTGATTTACATATTGGTAGTATTAAGATGTAATTACACTGTGTCACTAAAAATATTCCATCAGTAATGTTGTCCCACACATTGTTTGGACAAAGGGTTTGGGTTTTTCCAGTCATGACGCACAAACGGCGATCTTACTACTGTTGATGACTTATAACCAATGAAGATAATGTAGGCCTCAGATTGGTACAATTTCTCTGAAATCAAACATTTCCTATTACTAAAACGAATTACCAAAGAACATCAATCAAATAGTGTAGATTAAAAATACTTTGAAGCAGACTATCAGAAAACTGGATGTTATTCATGTAGTGAATGAATAAGCATAGCATTTAGTGAAAAAAGCTTGTAGGAAAGTAACTAAAATGAAATTCTCATCTTTTATGAACTACTTATTGGAAAACTAAAACATTCGCGTTATTAACTTCTATTCTAAGTAATATCTGATAAGGTCTCAATGTTTTGAGTCGCATGATCCATAAGAGCCCATCCAGTGATATGTTGTGGACCAAAAGAACTTAGTATCAAACCAATATCTTTCGTTTTTTAATATATATATATATATATATATATATATATATATATATATATATATATATATATATATATATATATGTTTATTTACATTTTATGCTTACTTCCAAAATCAGTAGATAATTCATTGTACGCAAGTATTAGGGTTAGCGTCCTTTAAATGTATTCAAGACATCAAATTCAATGTATGAAGATGGCTAACATCATTGAAAGACTGACATTTTCATGGTGTTTTACTACCAGAATATGGAAGTTAATCCTTATCACGAATTGAAATCATTTCGGTAACAACCAGTTGTGATTTATTATGAAAGTAACCTTCTCTCAAAATTTCTTTTTGTTAGCTATTAATTTTTTCAGCGCAACCATCTAGTTTGAGAAACTACTTTTTAATGTTTTGTCATTTGAATTAAACCTTTGTCGTTGCTGATACTCATGGGTACATTTCACTAGTGACATTTTCTAAATTTATATTTAAACTACTTATAAGTAATGTACTTGGATATGAAATATTTTACTAAACTATTCCAATGATAAATTCACTTGTTGTTTTACTTGTATCTTCCCATTGTTATTTAAGACTGCAGTTGATCAGTTTCATGTTGGCATATGTGCATCCTGTACGGATTGCCTCGATATAACCTTAATTCACAAGCTTTTTAAGCAAAGATGTATAGTGGCTAGCAGCGCTCTGGATTCCACTGCTAGCCACTATCCATCTTGGATTATTCCAACGATAGTAAATAACAGGCACATAGATGTACATATAAAGTTATTTCCCATATCATGAAATAGTGTGTTGAATGTTTATTTAAATGTTCATGATAACAATTCCAGTATTTTTTTTTAAAGGAGCTGCACCAAAATAGTGAACTAGAACTATGGTAGATTTAAGGTATATTAAAGAATATCTTGTAAAATCGATTACACATTCCAATCATAACTCCAAATCCAAACTCCACTTACCATCCTTGTCCCCATTGATTCAGAATATGTTATGATGGATAATCCGTTGATATAGATGACTGTAGTAATTCCTGTAGAGCTTTTAATGTAGATCGCTGTAGTTATACGTTTATAGAGTTCTCATTTAGTCAATACAACCATGGTCGTTTAAACCGACTGCGTTTTTCATGTATCTCAAACTAAGCACTGTATTATCTGGGGACAGGATGCTTCAAGTTAAACATTTAGACCTTGAGACGTGATGTCAAAACAAAAATGATGTAGAGATGGATTTTTAGTAAAAGTGGACATGAGTAAAGTGCTGTCCTGTTTGATATCTTTAAAACGTGGTAAATTGACTACAACTATCATGTGACTGTCTCACGTAAAAATGGTCTCAGACTTTAGATCGTTGCTTTACTGACAGCATTTTCTGACGTAATTTCGAAGATTTTAATTCGACCATGGTACGGCAGAGAGTGGGAAGAGCCAGTTCTCCCTCTGCAAATGCTCTCACATGGACACGTATATACAGCCACTGCCAAGAAAGTCCTACTCACTACCTCGCGGCATTGCTGTTGTTTACCGAATTGAGAGGATGAAAAGCGGATGACCGGCGCTTTAACCGGGTTGGTTGATATGGAGGATCCACCTTGGGGAGTTGAAATACACTGATTGCAAACTAATGGGCTCCAGTATCTTGAGGGAACAAATGGCATATGAACCAATCATTGTTCATTGGCTACCATGGGACTGCATCTCCTTACATTGTCCTACTGCCTTGTGGATTGGACCTTCAGGTTGAAGGCTTCGTGTGCAGCTCCCTAAGAAAACCACCTGTTTCGGTTTGAGCACCCAGGCAGTATCATACCCCACACACAAATGAAGTGACTTATGTGACGCATATGTATTCGTACCCCTTTGTGTCAATTTTTCAGTGTTCAAATGAATAAATATAGCACACTCAGTTTCGATTACACTGTTTCATTTAAACACTATCCGACTGTTTTCCGTTCAATAAAATAAGAGATCTTTAGATATATGTTTTCTAGTTATTCTTTTAATGTTTCTCTTGTGAAATTCACATGTTAAAATACCTAGAATTTATTTTCAAGTAGATTTACTACTTAAATTACAGTACATAGTAGTTAAAATACTGTAATGAAATAAAATTTTACAGCTGGTTTTAATGGGCTACTTGGATTTGCGTTCGAATTTAAGATTACTAGGACTGCTGACAGTACATCTGATGTAAATTAAACTGTATAGGCATAAGTACATGGAGATTGTATATGACATTAAAAATTTTCACAATCTTCGTGTTCACTCAAATGGAATTATCCGTTAACTTAAGTAATGTCATACTTCCGTAAATCATTTGCGAAATGTTGAAAACACTATGATTTACTTATTACTCACCGTTTTTTTCAAACGCAATCGCGTTATCCACTTAGCTACTGGGTCCTGATAGTCACTTACTTATGTAATGAGGTGAACGGTACTTGGTTCGAGTCCCAGTTTAAATATAACCTTTAAGATGGAAGCACAAATTCAGCTGACGAGTCCCAAACAGGAAGAAATGCTCGTCCTAGATTCTACTACTAGCCATTATTTATCTTTATATTACTCAAAAGTTATATAATCCAAAGATATTGATATTTCAAGCATAAAGTCTCATAAATATATAATAACCTGCCTAAAATATTACTTAGTATTTTCTAATGTTTTTGACTGGTAATATCACTCCATCAATATCTACCTTGTTTTATTCTGTAAATGAGTTTTAAATGTATCACCTAATTAGATAAATAATAGATGAGCAGTTAGTTATAAAACTCTTAAGCTTTATTAATCTTAATAAATTTACTTTTATTTTAAATATAAGTTTATGTTATCAACTTTGTGTTTCATTATTTGTATAAGAAATATTGTTATTAATCAGTTACTCAAACTGAAGCTGTTGAATCACTAATCTACTTACTATCTTATATTCACTCTTAGAGATAAATAGTATTATTCTATGTTGTACTTTACGGCTGCGAAACATGGTAATTGATAACAGATGTCTTAGAAATATTGCTGGTATCTGCTGGGATCACCGGGTAAGTAATAATTAGGTTAGACGCATGGTATTAGGGAATGATGGTAAATCAGTTGATAAGGTTGTGAATCTTCATCGACTGAGATGGTTCGGCCACGTGTTGTCTGAACACCGATTACCACGACATGGGATATACTAACCAGTGTTTGGGATGGTTTGAAGAAAGTTAGGGATGCCCAAACCAAAGCGCGGCATCAGTGCTTGAACTCGCTAACTTCTAGTCTGAGTCATGTTGGTAGATGCAGACTACTTGGTTGGGGTCCGCGTGACTATCGTAACTAATGGTTGGAGACTCTTGGTAACATGGCTCAGAATCTATCACAATGGCGTCGGTGTATACACTCTCTGTCTTCCCTTAAACTAAGAGGTTAAAATCGCTTCATATCTTTCTTTCTACGTACTAAATCCTTCTTCCTGTACTATATCCCTATATACAATCTTTTATATATTACTACCATCGACCTAACTACTATGAATCCGGTGTTCATCTTGTATTTAATTAACTAGATTTAAATAAATATCTTTTGTTTAATCTCTTTTTTCCAGCTATTTTGAAGTTACCAGATTCACTCTTTCTCTTATTCCCAACTCGTATACAAGCACTATTCTCAACATCATGTACGATAGTATGGCGAATGTATGCTGCCTGTTTTTTTCCAACATCAAACTTGTACTTCACGGTTATGTATTTCTTGATAGTAGCGAGTGAAATGCACTTACAACCCTTAACCGCCAGAATAGCCGCTGTTATCATATTGATTACTTTCGGGTTACTGGCCGGTGCTTTAGGCTTCTTTACTGGGAGAGTCACTGAAGTACTCATAACTAAACTTTCATTTCAAATTGTCATTTAGAAACGAGAACAAATTCAAAGTATATTACATTCATTATAAACTAACTTTAATTCTTCCAATTAAATAAACAATCATCAGTTTGTTTAAGTCAAAATTCAATGTTTCTTAAATACATTTTTCTTTAAAATAAGGAGCAAGGGGGGGGGTAAGGAGAAAACTCCTAAAACTTTAGTTTCATGCTTTTATCATTCCCATAACTTGTAAACATTTATTCCAACTTATATCATAATGAGAAAATACACATATATATATATATATATACTAGTTAAAAGAAAAAACATAAACACCAACTAATGTTGATTGTTCTTGTTTCTCCCTCCCCCCGCCTCTCTTTCTCTCCTTATACATAAATATACAGTCAATCAATTACAATATAGGATCAAGCACATATATCCATTGATCCAAGTTACCTCATTACTTCATTAATACAAATAAGATAAACATCGAATTCATAGAAATAGTTACTTCAATGATCATAGTAATATATAAATGAATGATTGTATATAAGGATAGATAGATAGATAGTAAAGAAAGAAAGGTATAAAGCAATCTCATAATTTAAAGAATTATAATATACAATAATGAAAATTGAAAATAAAACTTAAACAAAATTTGAAATAATTAAACTAATAATAAATTCAAATTTTAAATATTTCTAATTTCTCAAGGTCATTCATTATGGATACATATTTAAATTGAACTAATGAATACTTATAATTCATTGTTTATTTGTTTGTTTTTCTTTCAAAATAATAATCATTTGAAAGTTATATCATCAATGTAAACATAAAATTCTTTTCTTTTTTCTTGTTTTCTTTTTGCTTTTTTTATTCTTTTCTCTTTTATTCTTTTCTCTTTCTTTTTTCTTAAAGAAAACAAAAAAATAGAAATAAATTTAGAGTTTTATTTTATTCATAAGAATATGAAGAATATGGAAATCCTTTGAACGATGATTGACTAACTTTGAGAATGTCCATGTGATAACTAAGACCAAATGATGGTGGTTATAAATTAGTGTAAAGAATTCGAATTATGATTTATAATTGATGGTTAGGATTAGAAATTTAGATTTAAGGTTTTCATCACAAACTGACATCAGTTATAATGCTGAAACTCTATTTAGTCAAATGGAAAAATAAATTTCGCGCCAAAATCTGAGACCTGTTATCTGATGTGTGATTGATTCGTTTATAAATTATAGTCTCACGAAATATTTAATTTGTTTCTTCTTTCGTTGTTGTTGTAAGGTGATAAGTAAAAGAGAGAGAAAAAAAGAGAAAAAGTGTATTCATGATTCGTATTTTTCATAGATGTGTTGGTTTAAATGAACTAAAAATTTTGTTTTGCTGTTGACTGTTTACACGATATTATGCAATAGATCTGAAATTAGAAAAATAATAAAATTTAAAGAAAATAATTTTATTGAAAGATTTATATTACAAACAATATGTTAATCAACAGTATAGGATTGTAAAGATCATTACGTTTTTGATTGGGATCATGAACTGATTGATGTTAGATCACCATTGAAAAGCTGCAAACACTGAACGGATGTTTCGTCGTATTCTGGGACTCCTCAACAGTGTGCATATACGATGGCGCTCGCGTGAGTCGCACACAGGGCCTTCAGTCTTGTGCGCGTACGCTTAACCTCTAGATCACTAAGCTGTCCGATATTCTACGGTGTTAATTTCTAATCTCAATCAATCCACGAAACCGAGTGACCATCTTCCATCGTATTGAGGTAGATTCCTGTCTCTACCCGACACGGATTAGCTCTACTGATCACGGCTTCTCACTAGAATTCTGAGAATTTGGTCATTATAACTTGTGACATGAGTGCCCTGCTAATGTATAACATGATGATACGGCCAATTGGAAAGCAGTGGATTATCGATCGGACCAATCACGCATAAAACCCATGCGAGCAGTAATTATTGGTCTAGCTTCCTGACTAGCCCTGTCGGCCTGGTGAGTTTAGAACACTAATCTCAGCCTCTACAATGTGAATCATTATATTTCAAACATACTCGGTTTTATACCAACCAGACAGACCACACCGTACCAATAAAATAGGAAACAACATTTGTACATGAGTTAGTCAAATGTGGCTGTGAATGGGGAAGGTATTAATAATAGACAGGGCATAATTCAAGAGTGGTAAATCGTATAATAATAATTCATAAGTCATAATAAGAGGGACATGAATATGTATAGTTTAGTTATTTGCGCATTATACAATAAAAATATACGCATAGTATTGGTTCAAAAATGGATCACAAAAGTTACTATTCATTATTCTTATCGGGACATAACAAACCTGATACATTTTCTTTTTTTTAGTAGTACAGATTGTTACATCAAATCAATAAAGTGAGATGGAGTAATAAGTCAGGATTGACGATTGATATGATTTCGTAAAAGATTATTCAGAGATGGATAATGGGTAGCAATGTAATCCAGTTTGACGCGTGTTTCGTCTTATTTGGGACTCGTCAACTGGATGTACCTGCATCTCAGAGTTGATGTTCACTCCGACACTCGAACCCAGTAAAGTTCACTTTAAATGTCATCATATTATCCACTTAGCTACTGTGTCATAATAGCCACAGTTTCAGTTGTACCAGGGTTTATTTGTATAACTGTTTATTTGGTTAATAAACAAGGTCACACTTAGGTGCTAATTTATTTGTACAATTTTATAAAAAGCTAATACTTTCGAAAAATCTTATTACCATCCATGTTCAGTGTTAAAACAATTAACTGAATGTTACTATGTTTATTTCTGTTTTATTGCCTACAATTTTGAAATAGTCAGTAATGTTAACATGGAGTATCTTTTCTTAACAATAATATAAACTATATTTGTGTAAATTCATTTTTGTATTGTTTGTTTGAATCTTCCCATTGATATTTTGGTCTACAATTGATCAATCTCTTATTGGCATATGTGCATACTCTTTGTATTGCGTCGAGATTACCTTAATTCACAAGCATTCTAAGCAAAGATGGTTAGTGGCTAGCAATGGAATCCTCAAAGTGAATATCAACTCTCAGATGCAGGTACATCCAGATGTTGAGTCCCAAATAGGATGAAATACGCGTCCAACTGGATTCCCCTGCTAGCCACTTAACCTACCCTGGTAATACTGATTTATTACCCAGAGTGGTTATCACATTGTTTTTGTGTACTTTATTATTATTATTATTTTTCTTTGTTACGGCTTATGTTTAATCTGTTCAGTTGACCTTTTAATTTTCATATATAAATGTTCTTAACAAGGATATGCGTGATCAGACTGTTCGAAATGTATTGCACTAATATATCATCACATTAGCTCTGCTAAACTTCGTCTCATCATTCCATTATCGAAACTTATCAAAGAGATTAATTGTTTTAAAATACTTTTTTCTAGCTTATATAGAAATTAGTGATAAAATAGTAGAGTTTTTAATAGCCCGTTATCTGAATCCAATTAGAGTGTATGAATGATTGTTATTGAAATATACATATCACCAATCCTTGTATATGATGATCAATTTAAATCGTGTTAATGAATAACGGAATTAAATAAGCTAAATATGAGAATGAATTTTGAATACGCGTGTTTCATACAATCATTGATCTAGACAAACGAGCGAAGAAACGAAGAGAAGAGGAGAGAATGAAGTGAAATGACGCTCAATGGAGAAGGTATGTGAGCCAACTTGATTTAATCAACCGTTAATCAATATTGATAGTCACACAGAAATAAGCTACAAACATGTGGTGAATAGGATAAGTAAATGAACACACGTACGCTCCTATAAAATGAACCAGGATTGATAACTCCCCAAATGCTCTCACGTGGACACGTGTATACAGCCACTGCCAAGAAAGTCCTACTCACTACCTTCTCGCGGCATTACTGTTGTTTACCAAATTGAGAGGATGAAAAGCGAATGGCCGGCGCTTTAACCGGGTTGTTTTATATGGAAGATCCACTTAGGGGAGTTGGAAAACACTGATTCGAAACTAATGGTGTATATGGGCTCCAGTATCCTGAGGGAACAAATGGCACATGAACTGATCGTTGTTCACTGGCTACCATGGGACTGCAACTCCTCACATTGCCCTACTGCCTTGTGGATTAGACCTTTAGGTTCTAAGAAAACCACCTGCATCGGTTTGGGCACCCGTGCAGCATCCCAACCCTCACATAAATCAAATGATTTATATGGCACATATCTATTTGGTGCCTACTTGTACCAATGTTTATATGTTTAAATAAATAAATAAGGATTGATAAGTATTCACTTAACAAGGTTAAAACGTAACTCAATAAGCATGGATAAATTAACCTGTCCAGAAGCTAGAATAAGTTATGTAGGTTTAACATGGTAACTCACACTACAAGTTATATTGCAGCATTCACAATAAATAATAGGATAAGTTTCTTCGGTGTTATATGGGATAAATAAGCTGTGACTGTTTTCATATATAACAGCAAATAATGAATACATTTTTCTGCGGTTATTATCGTTGTTTTTTTGGTAATTTTTTAATACTTCATTTAATCCCATTTCAACAGAATAAACTGATTGGATCTTTAAATGAAACTCTACATTTGAAATCTCGAAACTTAATACATTCTAGTTGTATTTACAACTGACTCTTACTGTGAAACTGAAGGACACGAGATCAGATCCGTCAGGGTGCACCAATCCACTCAAGATTACAAGTACGCCTTGCTGACGGGTGCCAAGTAGCATGAAACCCAGGTCCAGGGTTTCCTGTCGACTACCGCCAACCATCATCTTACATTCCAGTTGTACATAAAGGTGATTACTGATGATATTTTAAAGAAAAACTGTACTAATGTATGTCAGAATCCACTTGGTATTGTTTGCTTGTCTTCCAATTGTTGTTTAGGACTGCGATTAATCAGTCTGATGAGTCCCAAATGGGACGAAACACACGTCCTAGAATCCACTACGAGCCGCCATCTATCTTCGCTTATAATGTATGTCAGGATTAAAAAGTCAATCAGACTGAAATATTGAAATGATTTCTTAAGTAAAAAAGAATAGAAATTCTCATACAAAAGGCAGTGATCTTTTATTTAGAAACAAGATTTACATGATAACTGTTGGGGTGATCCAGAAAACTTCTCGCAAAAGACAAGAAAGGCTCAGGAAACACTAAGAGGCATTTTATCCAATCAGAGTTCATTAGAAGTTTGGCCAGAATCATCAAGAAAGTGAAAACTCACATGTCGAGTTTCTAATTGGCTGATTATTATGCTGCTACTACGTTTAGTAGCATAATAGAATTCTCGGGAAACGCAATGACATCTAAAATATTACAAAAACTTTATATTTTCTGCACTAAAACGAACCTTTCGAGTAAAGTGCTTCTCGCATAGTTTGCGGCTTTTCTCTCGTCTTCAGGTCGCTGTGTAGTTCTAGCTTGGGGGTTACGAGAATAGCTTAGAAACCGAATATAGAGTTCAAGATTTATCAATAACTGATTATATTTAAGTGATGCATGCAAATTGCTTAAAAGCTATTTTAATGTTAATATTTCGTTATTTGAACTCTAAACTAACGACTGAGCAGTAGGAATAGTCAAGCTGAAATACTTAGATTGTTTAATGCACTCAACGTTTCCTAACCACCTAAGTTAATGGGAAATATACAGAAAATTAAGAGCTATTGATCTACATAGTGGAAACTTATGATTTTTATTCGGATACATTTTAAAAATTTCAATGTTGTAACTTCCGGAGCCTGTAACCAGTACAAGTGAGGTGTGTGCTTTCCTGCTTATGTATGGTAAAAAGCCACGACTTCCAATGCATAATAAAACCTGGCCACAACAACAAAAGTGGACGGCAACAAAGTTAAGAAAACAGAGGAGGGAGGCAATAAGAAACGTAGAAAAGAAACAAATGTCAGACACAAAGAAGGTGGAACAGTAGAGAAGAACGTGGGAGCCTTTTCTATTGGGGAATTCGGTAAAGTGTAGAGAACGGAAAGGTAACATAGCAAGGGGACCAGGGTCAGGAAAGCTAATCTCGAAGTGGAAAGGACCTTAAATTGTCATGGCGAGACGTGGGTCGGTTTACACGATCCGAAGAGAAGACAAACAGAATCACGTAAATGTTACTCAACGGCAGAAATGGTTTCAACACCATCATGAATGCAAATTAAGAACAGCACCAAAAAAGACAGTGGTACGACCATCGGAAATATTGTGAGAACAGCTTATTAAAAGTGGGGACGATTGTGGTGTGTGGTGTAGTATATAACGCTAGTTAGGAATAGAATATCTAGCAGTAAAAGGTTCAGAAGATTGAGGAGGGAAGAACGGGAACATAAAGCAATTGATATGGAAACGC